ATCTTCCATTAGAATTCTTACATTCTTCATTGGAGTTTGTTAATTATAGAGTTAAACCTTCATCATTTCCTTTCACCAATACAAATTTTGTAGTAGAAGTTGATTTGGATCTAGATCTGAAGTTTGGAAGCACTTTTTTGAAGCAACTTTGAAGCAAGTTCATCTTATTGTCGTGTTCTTCAAGTTTCTTGCTAGGAATACATTGGATCTTGGATTTTCTTTGTTTGACCTGTTAAATTCTATTTGCAACACTTGCCAAAGTAAATCTCCGCTTTGTAGGTTGGTGATTCTTAGATCCAAACTCCTTTTAGCTTATTTTGCAACTTTCACAATGTAGATTCATTGGCTTTTAATGTGAATTGATCAATTGACTGATTTAATTGTTGATCTTAATGTTTGATGAATTCAATTGGTGTTTAAATGCTGCTATTTTATGTAATTTTCGTGTACAATTGCATGCCCTAACATTGGATAAGTGATTTGCTGCTAAAAATGCTTTTGAAATGCTGATTTTCTGCTTCTTGTACAGTGTTAATCGATTAATCAGAATGCAAGAGTAGTTAACTAATTAAAACTGTTGCTGCGTGCATTTTGTGGTGTTTTGATGGTGTTAATCGATTAACTAGGTTATAGGAAAAAGTGGTTAATCAATTAACACTGTTGTTGAAGCTGTTTTTTGTGCTTTTTGAAGCTTGTTTTGATTCCTTTCCATGATTAAACTTCATTGATTGATATGATGCATATTTGTGGAATTATCTTGTGCTATTTCACCCTTTTTTGCCACATGTATGCGATTCTTTGACACACGACGCATTGATTTTCATAATGCATATTCATGACTAATTGCTTTGCATTTTGGGATGCATGCTTCATGTTTGTTTGTTCATTTGTATGTTCATGCTTGTTTGCCTTAGATGTTTTTTTTGCTTGATGCATGATTCATGTTCATGTTTGCTTTCAATTCCGTGCATGCGTGTTCATTTGAGATGATTAATTGTTGATGAACAGTTATGTTATTCTTGATATGTGCATTTCATAATTGTTGCTCATGTTGGATGCTTAGTATATGATCATGTACACTGATTGGTCAAATTCGATACATATTCATGCTTGAGTCTTACAATTCATATGCATTTGTTTAAATGTGGAGGCATGCTTTTGTTCAATTCTTTTGACACATGTTTATGCTAGGTTGATTGGGCATGGTCATTGTTGATTGTTTAATCTTTGATGCATGCTTAACTTGATGTTGTGAGGTTGTATGTTCATTTATGCTTTAGGATTATTTGATGCATTGCATGATGTTGTATACATTGTTGATGTGTTAAATATATGCTGTAAAATACACTCATGTTGTTTTGCTGCATTCACACCCGTTCTGTTCTGAAAATGCATAATGTTAAATGCTTTCTTGCTTGTTTGCTAGAATTTACTGTTGTGCTGAGCTGAAGCACTATTGTTGCTGCTGGTTTTAGTTTATTTTCTTTGTTTCGGTTTGTTTTTGTATGTTCCCTAAGGCCTCCTAGTCCAACTTAATATTTAATTAAGCTTATAGTAGGATAGACTTTAGGTGTTAATCCATGCATGATAACATTAAGATAGTTTACCTAACCTCAATATTAGGTCCATCTCTTAAATGATAATATTAGGATAGGATTCCCTTTTTTATCCTTAATTATAGGAACATTTGTCATGACAATATCTAAGTGTGAGATCTCTTAAATTTTTTCTTTGCCCTTTGAGTCTCTCTCTTCTCTCTCTTTAATCAAATAAAACAATTAATAAGGACGATATGCATGGTGTGTCATGAGCCTTAAGCACATGGGGAAAGATGAGTGGATGTATTTCTAACCTCATCTTAGGGTACTTTGTGCATGAGATGCTTGGATCGTTAGTGCGGCGTACTTGATCCTATGTCATGGACTTTAACACGATGCGTATCTCAAACAAAGTCAACCCACTTATCTAAAACACTTGAATAAATGCAAATCATTTTTTCCTTCGGGATTTTCTCCTCAAAACCTTTTTTTCAGAAATGGCATGCTATTTTCGTTCTACCGCAAATAGGTAACGCGTAAGGCTCAAGACAACGAGCGACAAACACTTAACTGCTGGAATGTGAACTTAACATCGCTCATAAAAGACACTTAGCCACTCATGGTAGGCTGAACTACGAATGCTCTGATTTCTTCATTTTCGTCCGAATAAAGATACATAGCCATAAGACGACGAAGTCTTGGTGAGCACCCTTCCATCCCTTTCTTCCGTAGTCTACGAACTACGAAGGCTTTGATTTCTTCATTCTCGTCTGAATGAAGATACGTAGACACAAGACAACGAAGTCTTGGCGAGAAACCTTCCTCCTTCACCTGTAGTCCTCTGAACCACATTGATTCTGACTCTCCCATTGCACGAGAAAATACTTAGGCATGAGACGGAGAATTCATATCGAGTCTCCTTTTGTTTTTCCATTTTTCGTTCTCGTTTAGCAAGTAGGTTTTAAATAAACACACCATTTGATTAGAACAACAAGAGTGGATCCCGTTGAGTAAAATGGACGCGAGGGGTGCTAATACTTCCTCTTGCGTAATCGACTTTCGAACTCAAGATTTGGTTGCGAGACCATGTCTTTTCCCTTTTTGAGATTTTTTCGATCGTTTCCTTTCCCCTGCCGGGATAAATAGCGTTCAGTGGCGACTCTGTGTTTTTTCGCCGGTTGTTTTTTGCGTTGCTACAGTATGGAGCTTAACCAACAATGAATAAAGCTCAACCTTTAAAAATAGCTCAGTTGATAGATTACAAGTGCAGAAAATCATTCATGATTCAAATTAAACAAAGAACTGAGTTTAACCAACAAAGAAGGAAGTTCAACCATTGAAGAGTACTCAAATGATAGATTGCAAGTGCAGAAAATTATTCTTGTTTCAAAAAGAATTGTTTTAATGGGTATCCAACAAAATCAAGATATTATCGAAGATTTGTATTAAGCAGTGTTTTTTTATATTTGTGTAAACAATGTATTTTAAAAATAATAATAAAAGAAATAGTTCCCTCGATTTTCATTAAAACTGAGGTGATAGTTAAAATAAAACCTTGATTTTATAGTCAAATCGAGGTGGTTAGTAATCATACTTTATTAAATTATATGTAGTCGTTCAAAGAGAGGAAATATTCACCACCGTCCATTTCTATCATGAGTTGCTACTACAGATCTCTGAGATAGATTACAAGTCCAGAAAATAAAAATTCTCACTGAAAAACAGATCTCTAGCATGTTGCATGTGATCTAGACATGTAAAATAAAATTTCTCATGGGAAAATAGATTTTACAATGTATTTTTAGTATTTTGTGTAAACAATTTATTTTAAAACAACAACTTATTCACCTCGGTTTTCTTCTTGGCCGACGGGATAGTTAAGGTTTTCTTTTTACTATATGCATCATCCTTAAATAAATCTTTTTCGTCCATTTAATGTTTATCAACGCTCAAGAATATGTCATTAGTTATCCGCGTGAAATCTAAGGGACATCCATTATAAAAGTATGTTGAATATTGAAAATCTAACCTAAATGAAACATGAAACACTTGAAACATAAAGGCATTTTGAAAAGTTCTCTAAGATGACTTACAAGAACAGAAAATTGCTTGGATTTAAGGTTTGTTTTCTTGAATATTTATCATGAACACACAATCATATATTTGAATATTTATTTTATTTATTTAACCCTTATTTTGTTTTACTTTAGAAAAAAAATACACGTTAGATCCGTAGAGAATAATCTTGTACCCAACATTTGATCTTCCTTAATACTCAATAATTCGAAGATCTAAGGAATTTTTTCCTTGTTAATAATGTATTATTCTGTGTAAATAATGTAATATTCTCGGTAAACAATTTAATATTTTGGGAAACAATGTAAAAATTAAAATAAAATAAAAAAATAAGTTTTCTTATCCTTCGGTTTTCAAGATAAACCAAGATGAAAAATACGCTAGTTTCGAAAATAATAAAAGTGCTACTATTGGAGTATGAACTAATGTGTATTTAACTTTACCTCTCGATCTTAATTCCGCCGAGGTGATAAATGACAAGATTTTAGGTCGTTTTTCGTTACTTCACTTTTATAGCCGAATTATTATGCATTTCGCGTCCGAAATAAGAAGCACTTTTTGTAGTAGTAACTTTGCTCTTTTTGAGTGCAACATGCTTCATATTCCTCTGGATTACCTAGAGAATCTGGTTCTTCTTCTTATTTGGGGAGAATTATGCCCCTCGACTATTAATGTTTTCTTAGTTGAACTAGTAAAATTGAAGTCTCATACTTTCAAGGTTTTTGATATTAGCCTCAACAAAAATCTATATTTATTTTTTAGTTTAAATAGTCTATTTATCCCTATAAATTAGCAAGTTTTTAAGTTTAATTTCTGTAACTTATTTATTTTATCTGAGTCCTTATATATTTTATTTTTTGCATGTGGTTTAGTCTCTAAAGTTAAAATTCGCAGATTTTTTGCATATTTTAGTTTTAAGGACTAAAACGCACGCAAAAACTAAAATATAAAAACTCAGAAAAAAATAAATAAATTATAGATACTAAATACAAAAACTCAGAAAAAAATAAATAAATTATAGATACTAAATACAAAAACTCGCTAACTTATTGAGATAAAAAATAAATTTAAACATTTTTTATGTTTTTTTGAAAATACATAATTTACAAAATTTGATTTAAATCTTTATACATGTTCGAGTGTCTTTATTAAATCTATTAATATTATATACATGTCATTATTTATATAAGTAACATACATCATCACACCATAATTGAATTAGTTTAATGAGCACAAGCAACAAATTTAAAACAAATATATGCAAACCTTTTTCCTTTGGGAAATAACATTGACATCAATATAAACAATACATTTAGATATCACCGTGACTTTTAACATACAAATTATTATCATTACTATATAGCAACCAACTCATTAAATATCACACTAATTAAATTTAGAACAATCTCTCCTAATATCTCCATCTTTACCAATCTTTACCCCAACCCTTCCAAGCTTCTTAATAGCAACAACAAATGCATCAAAGAATTTAGCACCATCATTAGCAAACTCAACAACCTTAGACTTTGAAGCATCATCAGTGAACAAAACTTGATCAGAACTTAATAGCCCTTTTCCATTAACCAAGTTTTGGTAATAAATATTATCAAAAACAAATTGAGTTTGGGGATCAAGAGGAAGCACTATTTGTGGATCAACATTTCTAGGGCACCCTGTCATTAATTCTTGTGCGTAGCTAGGGTTTAATGTGGGGTCCACTTGAGATGAGTATAAACGATCTGTGAATTGGTCACAATGGGAGAATCCAACAGTGTGTGCTCCTGAGAGTGCTATCATGTCGGTTTGTGTTAGGTTGTGTTTGGAGAAAATTTTGTTTAGGTCATTGAGGTTGAAAGTTGGTTTTGGAAGATTTTTTTCTACGTTTGATGCTTTTGAAATAAGTCCATCTTTGCGTCCTAGCTCAACGCTGAATGAAGGGCCTCCAAGCTATATAGTTCACATAAATAATATAGCAAAAGTAAATAAATTAGTGGTACAAAATATAAATGAAATGTAAATAATTAACTATACAATTTAATTAGGTTATGATATAATTCATAAAAACTAGTCCACATTCAAAAAATTATAATGCATAAAATACGTTTTAAATAATTTAGCATTTATTTTTATTAATACTTATATTTTTTCTTTAAAATTTTTTTGTAGTAATATATCACAGAATAATGTCTATTTTGATATAAACTTTGACATTGAAATAAATTTTAATATTGTTCACCCTATTGTGTTTATAAGAAGTTTTATAATTTTTTGTTTGTCAACTTTTCTTAAAACTAAAAAAACATGGAGACAATTTTTATAAAATAAATTAAATTGTATTATTAATTATTTTTATTATTTTATTTATCATTAAAATATATGTTATTAATTTTTTTTGAAAGGCAAACAGAAATGTTCTTAATCATATATATATTAACTACTTTTATTAATTAATAAACTACTAAAATATAAAATATTAATTAATTTATTTATGTCAATTTTCAATTATATAAAATAAAATAAGAGATTAATATATTGTATTTTTTTGTTCATAAAATAGTAAAAATTATTTTTAAAAAAAGTACATGTAAAATATGAAGTTATAAAATACTCTCCAATTAATTTAAACTAAATTTTTTAAATTACTGTTTTATTCTTATAAAACAAGTTTCTAATAGATATATATTTTATTATACTAAAATGGGGTGAAATATTAATGTTATATTAGAGGAATTTATCAACAACAAAATAAGAAGAAAGGAATAGATGATTTGACTTGATTTTTTTTTAAAAAAATTGTGTTACTCCAATGACCTTAAATATAAGACTTTGTCAATTAATTACAAAATTTGTAAAAACAGTAAGATGTAATATTTTTAAATACACATATATTTAATGTATTAAATCTTTTGATGAATTTGACAAGTAAAGTAGTCACTAACTTTTGTTTCATATACACATCATTAAGTTTCTAAGACTTATTAAAATGTGACGTAAAAAAGAAGACTTTATAAAATGTGACATAATTAGATGATAGAGTGTTATATTTATGTTATAGAATTAAAATAATAATATTTCTTACCAACACTATAACGTCTCTAGTGGCAAGTGCTAAAATGTCTGCACATGAAACAACTCCTGGGCAAAAAGCTTCAACAGCTTCCTTTGCTTTAATAATAGTGTCAAAGCCATCTCCTGGTAGTGAAAGATTTTCTTTTGCATCTCTTTCTGCATCTCCGTTTGGTGAAGCTATCATAATTGATGCATCACATCCCTACACAAGAGATCACAATTGTTCTTTAGTATAAACTATAAACCAAACAAATTTTGAAGAGATTGAACTTGTTTAAACTAGTTGTTCTCTAAATAATTGTTTTAAAAATTATAAATTTTTTTTAAAAATATATTAAAATAAATAAAATTTAAATAATTTTGTATAAAATATTATTTTATTATAATTTATTTTAGATATTAAAATTTAAAAAGTCACTTAAATTTGAATTTAATTTAAATAATTTTTCATTAAAAAATTTGAACATATATATTTCAAAAAAATAATGTGATTCTGAATATAGTTTCACTTTTCAATAATTTATAATAATATTATTAAAAATCAATTTTTTTTAATTAACAAAAAATGAGTTGATTTTATTTAATATTTAAAAAACTTCTTTAAAATCATTTTTAAAAATATAACAAACTTTTTTTAAGTTAAAATAAACGGCCATATATCTTAGCATATTATATTTTATCATTTACTTCTACAAATATAATATGAGTCATACCATTCCAATTTCCATAAAAGTGGATGACATATTTAAGATTAAGACCTTGGGAAAAGAAGCATAAGCCTCCACCAGCCATAAAAGTCCTAATGCTATACATTTTTTATATTCATATTTCACCTAAAACGAGACTAATTCCTGAATTTCATATCTAACTATATTATTTTTTTTAATTTAAAAGTAATGATTTTTAGCTTTAAAAGTGATAATTTTATATATTTTGAAAATTTTGAAATTAGGATTAAAACTGAGTTGGGATCAAAATCACAAAATTTTTCAATAATTAGGAGCCAAGAAACTAAACCAGAATATACAAATAAATGAGAAACTCAAGAACAATATATGAATGGTAGAACAAAGATTATATACCTCAACAAAGCAATCATGCAAAAAGAGACGAAGAGTTGCTTGTCCAGTAGTAATGGTCTGAGTAAACTTGTTTGTCACTGCTTGAGACACCAGCAGTTCTACATTAGGACAACTTGAAATGTAGAAATTCTCTACTAATTGCCCTTCTCCACTATAAAATATCGCAAAAATCATAACCAAAACTATAAACACAATCCTTATTATTTTCTTCATATCTTCTAGCTCTTGTTAAATATATCTACACAATTCTATTATACTTCTTCTATTTATATATATATATATATATATATATAGCTTATAGATCAGTATACCACTATTATATGGTAAAGGAACTTACCTGGTTACCCTACAAACCAAACCACTTGTTATTATTGTTTATATAGTAATATATAGCTGGAAAATGTCTTGGTCTAAGTTCAATTTCAGTCATTGTAACTTGTCAAAATGAAACTTTCCTCTTTTCAAGTTTTCACTTGCTATTTTATTAACATGTTAATTCAAGTGTTATTAGAAAATAGATATACGACTCCATTGGTATTTTATGTTAAATAAGTTATTAACAAAACTATGGTCCCACAGGAGCACAGAGCCTCCTTTGGATGTTTTCTTTGTAAGACTTTACTTTTTGAGCAAGTCTTTATAAGACTATATTATTATTTATAGAAAATTAAATATTCTTGTGAAAAGCTAGATAAGTACATTTCATATGGTATATGTATAGAAACTTACTGTGTTTGGTAGTGAAATCAAATTGTAATTCTCAATTTATACACATGGTACGGGTTAAATTATTCGGAGGTTATAATCATATCAAATTATTGATGTTTTTTTTCTTCTGTAAGGACAAGAAGATTCAGAGGCTTTAATAGGTGTATAATACGTTTGATGGTGATGATTGCTCACGGTAGTAAGAAACCATGTACGATGGTGTTTGAAGTTATTTAATGGACTAACTCACGTGAGGTGAGATGCTCTGTTGGTGGCTGGTGCTACTTGATTGCAAACGGCCGGTTAGGTTAGTCTGTGTACTAAGGTAGTTACGAGTGTGGTATTCTTTTAGTTGTGGAGAGTGTGTATGACTTAAAGTCTGTCTTTCCCTTTTAAGGAAAGAGATATTTATAGAGACCCTTTGAGTCTAGGGTTTTCATGGAAAGGGTTGTTGCCCACCCAGTCAATGATGGATTGTTGAACGCCTATTTCTGAGGGAGACGTGAGTCACTAAAGAGCTTGACTTTTCCTCTATCCAAAAAATGTTTTCCTCTATCCATTATCCCTGTAAATAACCTAATCAGACATTATTTTTACAGGCAACGATTATGCAGTTAATAGATAGTTTCCTATAAAAATTCCATAATTTGCAAATCATTTGAGACTCCAATTGATCAAGTAATTTTATGTCTTTATCTCTTAATTTTCGTATGCATTTTTTAGTTTAGTAGCACAACACCTCTCATATTGTACATAAAATTCTCTAGAGTAGTTAAGGAAACTACAACCGAGAGACATAGTATATTCCTCGTGTCGATCACATGAAGTCATAAATCATTGTTGAGAGTTATCCACTTATCCTAGGATAATAAATTACAATTCGATAATAAATTTTTTAAACTTGATGGGACATTAGAGTCAATACCACTTGTACTTTCTGAAAAAGTACAGGGTGTGTGCGTGTTCCTCCTGCAAGGGTAGTAAGACTCAGATGTCCTAGTTGGTATATTACACGATAGGGGTGTGGGTCAGATCTCGGTGGTGAGTATCCATATGTGGTGGTTTTGAGTGTTTGAACAAATTTGGTTCATACCATGTATCCTCTAAAGTTTTGATGATAACAAAGTATTTGAAAAATAATTAGGATTTCTAACTAGTTGGTTCATATGTGCAAAATTATAATTACTTGATGAAACTGGTTCTGACACGGAAGAAGTTATGGTCCAGTTCTAATTTTGTAGTAGTCAGGGAGTCTAATTAGAAATTTATCATTAGTGCATTTCAGAATCAGAAGTGTGTTTTACCTGCCTCTGAAACTGAGTAGTGTCAACTCAAGCTCTGTAATCACGGGACTCGAGAATTTTTGACTTTATCTTCAAAAGATTTTGTACTTGTTTCAAAGAATAGTTCTCTGGACTAAGGCCTTGTTCAGTGGATAATTCTTTGTCTTCGAGTTCCAACACATGCTTTATTGGAAAAAAAGATGTACTAAAAGATTTGATCTGATTATAGTCATTGAGGATACTTCAAGGACTCTATTTCTTTAGCTATAAAAGGAGCAGAAGAAGTGAAGATCAACCAAGAGAATAACGCTGCAACTACAACTGAAATACACACACACTTCATTCATATATGCTCAAGAGAAGCTAATCTGTTAAGAGGTCTTATTGTTGTATAGCTTAAGAATCCTTAGTGTTAAAGTGTGTTATATTATATTTAAACACCTCTAGTTATTAATCAAGGGTTGTTGTAAGTTATTCCTTCTCTAAACAATCAGTTTTAATAAAAGTACCTTACCTTGGGCTTTAGGATTGAAGTCTTAGATTCAAGGAATCTGAGCAGGAAGTCTTGGACTGTAGCTCTAGGAAAGAAGTCTTGTAGTCAAGGGTATAAGGAAGGAAGCCTTAAACCAGAAGGGTTTAAGCAATAAATTCTTAGGATCTGAGGATCTAAGCATGAAAGTCTTGATCAGGTGTTGATTAAGCAAGGAAGTCTTAGGTTGTAGGTCTGAGCAGGAGAAAGTCTTATACTTGAAGTTATAAGCAGTTGTAATTTGTTTGATTATGCGGAAATCTCTCGTGCTGCAAGGGGACTGGATTACTCTCAATTGGAGAGGAACCAGTATAAATGTTGTGTGTTCTTTTCCATTTTTATTTACTTCTATTACATTTTTCGTTGCACTTGTTATCAGTTTCTGAACTTCTGTTTTGAATCTGAACTATGGTTCAGAAGTAGAAACAATTTGGCAAACACAATTCAACTCCCTTCTTGTGTATTATTCTCACATTCAGTTGGTATCAAAGTCTGGTTTGTACGTAACACTTAACAGTGGTAAATCTAAAGATCCAATGAGAAAAATATGTCCACTGAGGATCCTACTACCTCAGGAAGAGGATTTTCCTTTGATTACAATGGTTCTAAAAGGAATCATTACTCTGTTAAACCTCATTATCCAATGGTGATTCCACTGAGTTTGAATGGTAGAAAAGTAAGAAGTACATGTATATCATTGGACTCGATGATGAGTTATGGGATATACTTGAAGATGGTATTGAGATCACCGTTGACAGTGTTGGTATGATATCTGGCAGAAAAACTTTGACTCCATCTCAAAAGAAAATCTATAGAAAACATCATAAAGTCAGAGGTATTTTGATCGATGCTCTACCACATGCTAAGTATTTGAAAATCATTGATAAGTCTTCTGTAAAGACTATCTTTGAATATTTATGCTCTACAAATGAAGGGAATCAGCAAGTTAGAGAAACAAAAGCTAACTTGTTGGCACAAAAATATGAGTTGTTCAAAATGAAGGATGATGAGGATATTGAAACCATGTTCTCCAGGTTTCAAATTCTTGTACCAGGCCTTCAAGTTCTAAACAAGAGTTACTCTACATTATATCATGTCAAAAAGATTATGAGAAGTCTCCATTTAAAGTTTATACCTAAAGTAACAAATAATCCGAAAGCTAAAAACCTGAATACGCTGTCTCTTGAAATTTTAATCAGCAATCTTTAGAGCCATGAGATAGAAATTAAAGGAAACGAGTCTTCAAAGAAACTCAAATCTCTTGCTCTAAGATCTACTTCTAAAAAATCTGGTGAAAAGTCCAAAAGACTTTTAAAGTTCAATAAACTTGATGAAACTTCTAAAGAAGATTCTGAAGGTAGATCTGATGATGATATGGCTTGCTTCATTAGAGGATTTCAACAAATGGCCAGAATAAACAAAATATTTTCTAAAAGCAATAAAAGATCTAACTTCAAAGAGAAAGATGAAGACAAGATTTACGAAAATCATTTATTCACATACGTAGCACAGGTTCGGATGAACAGACAACAATAATTTGTTTAACATTTTAATCATAAAATGACATGTTATAATATATTTCCGACCATTCACCATAACCAAACTCCATAAAATTCAGCAAGAAATCATCTTGCATAGATTCATTAAAACAACTAGTTTTCCATCAAAATTCAGCACTACCGATTCTCCGGCTTAGTGTGTACAACCAGCGTTTAGTATTTGACAATAACAACCAATTTCACGAAGAATACTCAATAAAATTCAGCAACAAGAAAACAACTAAAACAAAACATTAAACGTCCATCCACCTAAGAGTGTTACGTATCAGAGCGACCGACGACACCTTAAACGGAACGCTATACTCTATTCCGGATCTCTTGCAAATTACCACCAATGGAGGTAACATACAACGTAAAGGGTGAGATATCAACAATATAACATAAGGCATGATAAAAGTCATGTCAGAATATTATCAAAGCATTATAGTTCCAGCAGTTCACAAATATCATCAATAATAAACTACAACAACTCTTTATTCATAACCATAACAATTATCATTATAATTCAGCAACTCAACAATACAACCCAACAACACAACTCAACTATGCAACCCAACTATGCAACTCAACAATGCGACCCAACAACACAACTCAACAATGCGACCCAAATGTGCATATGCATGTGGTACCATTTTGGAGCCAACACTCCACAACCAATAATTTGCCACTAAGGGCCGCCAATACAGGTCATCACAGATTTTTCCACTAAGGGCCGCCAATACAGGTCATCACAGATTTTGCCACTAAGGGCCACCAATACAGGCCAAATGATATGCTATGAGACGCAACTATTATGGACTACACCACCACAACAACAACAACAATGCAACAAGGCACCAAGCCTACAACCAATTATCCATAACAGAAACATCACCATTTCGCACACATCATGTACTCACCATTTCAACCTGTTCATGTCAGAGACAGATAACAACAAACACGCAACAAGGCATTAAGCCTACAACTAATTTATTTATAACAGAGACATACCAATCATCATATAACCACAACTTTCAACATAATCAAATGAGAATACTATATTAACATTTTCTCAACAAACGATATGGCAATTTCATAAGCATCAAATATTCATCATTTCAATCCGTTCATGTAAGGGAACAATAACAACATCAT